AATCAACTAAAATCAATGATACAATCAACTAAAATCAATGATACAATCAACTAAAATCAATGATACAATCAACTAAAATCAATGATACAATCATGTGGAGGCAGAATAGGCTTGCTTAAAAAGAAAAGTCTTCAAGCCTTTTTTAAAGTCAGTCAATGATTGTGGAGCTCTCAGATATTCAGGGAGGGAGTTCCAGAGGCGGGGGGCAGCCACACAGAATGCCCGATCTCCCATGGTTCTTAATTTAGTTCGTGGAAGGTGGAGGAGATTACTGTTCTGTGATCGTAGGGACCGGGTGGATGAATATGGAGCAAGAAGGTCCTTCAGATAATCTGGTGAATTTCCAATTTTTCAATTGAAGTATCCTTCAAGGGTTTGCATGACAGTAACCATTGTGCTTTATATCTTAGCTAAGTGATTCTAAAACCCTCCGAATAACTTGCAATACAATATCCAAAAATGTGAAGGAATGCAAGCCAGAGCTAAGTGCTTAACATTTTGCCTAAATCGTTTAACCTACTGTTTAGGCTAGTTGCCCTAGAACTACAGGCACTTTGATGGTTATTCTTTATGTTTGGATACATTCATATATATATTTTATTAACCCTCTCATTAACCCAAGAGGTTTATAGCCATTCAGGTGTTTATGTCCTCGAGGCATTTCAGTAGTGGTTTGGAGGAAAATGAGTCCTCCTTAAGGGGGACATAAACCTGACAATCATCTGCATGAAAGTGAAAAAATAAATTACCTGTAGGTACTTTCAAAAAATAGACCCAAGTGTAAGTAAATAAAAACAAAAGAGATGGGGCCCTAAAACAGAAACTTGTGGGATCCCACATAAGAGAGGAGCAGAGGAGAATGCATGTTCACCATAGCTGATACAGAAAGGTTGCCTTTAACACTGATGGTCTACAGTGTCAAAGGCATCAGTAAAGTCTATAAGCACAAGAATAATGCAATCTCCAGAGTCAGTGGCTAAAAATATGTCAAAAACTTTTAAAAGGCTTGATTTGTTGCTTGGTTTAATAAACACATTGTTGACTTTTTTTTGCCACCAAATACAAGAAAACAAGAACACCACATTAGGTGTAGCCAAGGCTACATCTCACAGTTCAGTCAGTCCTAAGTGGGTTTGCTTGACTTAAACAGTTTTACTGTTTTGTCGTAATGGCCAAGCTGTTATCGAGTTTTCTTTCAGTCTTTTCCGAGGTTTGGGTTGATGCCCTTCTGATGCTTAGTGATGGTGGTCCTGAATAATTAAACAGGTCTGACAGCCATGCAGGGGTCCGTTTCCATGACTACTGCTCTCCCTGTATCTCCACAGCCCTGAGGAGTAATGTAAATCTGCTGTCTGCTTAATGTCATTTTAACTTCAGCAAAGTGCCACACAAAGGCATTCAAGTTGGGGTCAGAGGGGGCTTTTGATTACATGTTCAGCTTTGGTTTCTCCTCTGCTCTGTATCGCCACTCTCGCAGAGTGTGCTGGTTAGCTAGTGATAATACAGCAGAGGTTTATAAATTGTATAAACAAAAGTGTACAACAAACAAGTGCAGGTTGTCTTGAGCAGAGATGAGCACGAATGCTGTAAGGTGATTTTAATTGATTTCCACCATCTTCTCTGACGGTATCAGCCCATCACCACATACACAACTTGTGGTGATCACCCCCATACAAAGAACCCAACTCAGACACAGGCAATTACCCTTTAACATCAAATGATTCATCAGTTCCCCGACCCATTAGACAGTGAATTAACCTTATCTACCTGTAGATGAAGAGGTATGGCTATGACACCCAACAACCCTGCTCCAGTCACAGCCGTTACCAGAAAATATGCTGTGCACTTTCCACACAGCACGATAGTGGCTAATCACACCCTGAGAAATGTAATAAAAATGGGATTATGACTCAGTTATTCATCACAAGAAGTGCTTATTTTGTATTTTT